CTTGTTTCCTAGTGATGGGCAAGTGGCTACCTTCGCCCTTGACTTTTCCATAATGCTGGGTGAGAAGGGTTTCTAAATTGCCTAAAAGCTTACTCTGTGTAGAACTTACTATCCTTCCTGTCACCATTCTTACAGTGTTTCCTTGCCGTTCCCTTTAAGGTTGAACCAAGAGATCTCCTAAGCTTGACAGCATAATTGTCACCTGGCTTCTATGATTTCCTGTCCCCCTCCCTGTAAAGGTATGATGAAGTTCCCCAGCCTTTCTGGATTATTTAACTCTTTTTGGCCAAAAACAGCTACAAAGTCAAACCAGTGCCTGTTTGGGCAAAAGCCGGAATGCTGCATCTGTGACTTTCTGTGGAGACCCAAAGAGAGTCACACACCCCTCGGAAACAATGTATGAGTTTGGGTAGGCGGGTGTTGCCTGCCCGCCTGTCCTTTCTTGCCCCCTGCCGCCTGTAATGTGCCGAATGCTGCTTCCAAACATCTCCTGGTTTTCCTGAATTGCTTTGCCTAAAGTATCATTTGGGGAGGAGATACTTTTAAAAATGCATCCTCCTCCTCCACCTTTCAGCAGATTAACTGCCAGTCCTGAAGGGACTGTCGGACTCTTTGAGAATGCCCAAGAATGCCAAAGGCAATCATCAAACATTCAGCATCACAAGTTTCAAAAGAAATCAGAAGAAGGCTGTGTGATTCTCACCCACCTCCCAATAAACAATACAAATGTGAGAGCGATACCTTGATTGGACCAGACCATTAAAAAAAATCAAGTAGACAGCTGGATTGATTTCAGAAGTTTTTAAAGGTTGCAAATGATTTCTTCCCACCACCCTTCAACCCTTTAAAAGAAACCAGTATCCATATCTAGGACTCTCTACATTTTCCCACCCTCCCCTCCTTCCTGATCCCTCTTTAACAGATAATGCTGGAGTTCCAACATTTATTGCTGCTGTTTCTTTATCTCTTTCTGGTGTGTGTGTGCGTGTGTGTGCTTGAGGGGGACTGACACCTTCATCCCCTTAGGACATGAGAACGCTTGGGAAGAAATGCTGCCCTGTAAATTACTCTGTGCTGTTAACCTCTCCTGTCAATACATCCAGCTGGATCCTCAGCGCAGCACAAAGTACAGGTGGAATCTCAGCAACATCAAGAAAGTGGGTGCAGAGCAGCTACCCTGATGTCTGCCCTTATGGGCATGTTTATGTTGGCACAAGAAGCTTTCTGCGCAAGACGCCCAACCACCAACAACACAAATAACATTCTCAGGGACAGAAGGCACTTACCCCGTTGACAGCCAGGTTGCCACGGGCATTGATGGGAGTCACTCCGTAAAGGACGCCTGCACCGGCAATGGCCCCCACCAGCTGGGCCACAACGTAGAACAGAGTCCGGAGGAAAGAAATCTGGTTCCCTACGAAGAAGGCGATGGTCACGGCTGGGTTCATATGACCACCACTGATGTGACCGAAGGTCTGGACCATGGTACCGATGGCCAAACCAAAAGCCATGGCAATCTGGAGGATGCTCGGCAAAGCGGAAGGCCACTTCAAGGCTGAGCCCAAGCCGAAGAAGACAAACAGCGCAGTGGCTAAGAACTCAGTAAAGACGGCTCGGAGAAAAGCGATGGTGCAGACTTCTTTCTTCATGGTGGGGCTGGAGCAGGAACAAGGGGACTGAAGGTGGAAAGGTTTCACCTCTGCCTAGGATGCTAAGGGACTGGTGTAAAACACAGGGTCATACCTACATACCTACATATATATATCCAGGTGCAGCAAGACAATAGTGTACCAAAGTGTGGGTGGAGCCAAGGAACTGGCCAGTCCTTCTGCACTCTCTCTCTCCCCCCCCCACACCTGTTCCTGTGGAGTTTGGAAACTTTCCATCTTCAGACAACATCTGAACCTTCCCCTTTTGGAAGGTTCAGTCCTGATTTTCTTCTTTTCTCCTCCAAACAACGAGGGCTCTATTGAACAGCCCTGCTGTCATTAGATAATCACCATATTGCATAATGGCATACAGATTAGCACCTTGTCTTTTAGCCCAGACTTTTTAAAAAATTCTTTTTTAAAGGTTTTTTCTCCCCCCCTTCTTCAGTTTGTAAGAGCAATCGTGTTGCCAGTTTAAAAACACACACACACATGAAACATGTTATATGGTGCTTACATGATTGTTTCTTTCATGTACTGCTTCTTGGCTCATGAGAAGAGGAAAGTAATCTGGCAGTGATTCTGGGCAGCTCTGCTGAACTGGATTCTCCAGCATGCTGACTTTAAAAAAAGAAAAGAAAAGAAAGAAAAAAGGCCAAAAGAGTTTCTGACACTCCTTGGAGCTGCTGCTGGTTTGTCCTGACAGATCTCAAGCTCAGGTCTTTTGCCTGTTCTGCTCAAGACAAAAAAGCTTACAGAAGGGCTGTGAATACAGCAGCTGGCTGTGCGGAGAGCTATCAAATGCCCTGGCATTTTAGTACAATACTGGTCTCAGTTTACAGCCTGTGCGGAGGCAGGATAAATGCAGCAACGGAGAAAGGCATTGTTATGTTCCAAGTGTCTCCTTTTGCTCTCAAGGCAACGATTCCCTTCTCTCTGCCAGCGGTTGCATAATCTCAGGCAGCCCTGCCTTTCTTGTATCTTCCACGAGCGCCTCTTCGCTTCTGCTGGTGGTCTGCACAGACTTGCAAGAGAGGCATGAGGTGGCTGTCCTGGTCCCGAAAAAGTTGAAGATTTCAAGAAAGTGATGCACTGGTTGGACGAGGGCTTGAGCTGATTATTGTCCGGCATAAATTGGACTTGCAGACACATAATGATGCAACTAGTTGTACTATAGAAGATCTGTGATCAGGATTTCCCTTCCTCACTTTCTTCAACTGAGTGAGAAAGGTAATTCAACTTTTTCCCTTTGCGCCCTTCCCCTTAATTAAAGCTGTTATAAACACCATTATGAACAACCTATTGATACTGGTGAGTTTTCCTTTATGAATGAAAGGCATTAGCCAAGGAAGGCCATTTCAGTTAAAGAAAGAGAATATCACCTGGTGCATATCACCACTTTGTCAGCTTGCAAAAATAGCTGTTTTCCCCCCAAAAAAGACCTAACCTGGAAATAAGCCCTAGTATGATTTTTCAGGATGCTCCTAATATAAGCCCCACCCCAAAAATAAGCCCCAGTTCAGTGAAACCCTGTGCCTCCAACATTGTGCAGCAACCAATACATGGCTGTATTTGAATATATGTAGATTGTTGTACATGAAAAAAAAATCCCCTGAAAATAAGCCTTAATGTATTTTATGGAGCAAAAATTAATATAAGGCCCTGTTTTATTTTCGGGGAAACAGAGTACCTAGGACTGAGGAGATCTTTCTTTCTCAGCTCCCAGTCATGTTGAGCTTAACCCTTGGAATAGATGCCATTGCCTGTCTTGGGCTGGACATCTGACGGCTAACCCTCTGACATCAAATGGTCTCTATCTGGTGTTGTTTGGCATAGGAAGAGCCCAGTTTGCCACCCAGCTTCTGTGAAGGCAGAGAAGTTGACATTTGTCTGGGAGCAAAGGGTCTTGGGGGCAGACGGTAGGTTGGCAAGTGGCTGCAGACCAGGGAGCTTGTAACCAAGGAGAATAAGTGACAGACTGAGAATCTGAAGGGAGGGGGGATAAAGGGCAGACATGGCAAGAAATGGAAGCAAGGAGGGCCTGCTAGGTGTGGCTTGAATTCAGAGTTTGGAAAAATCATTTCCCCGCTTCAGCTTCCAGGATCTATCAAATGGTGTCTTTGTCCCATCATCCTGTGAGGCAGGCTGCTGAGAGATAGTGCCTGGACTATAGGCGTGGTGCAAAATCCAATGACTGAGCATGGATTTGAGGTTGCACATCATGATTGCTGGAAAACATGCAGGCAGCGGAAAAAGAGGAAGAGCAAATACAAGATGGATTGACTTCCTAAAGGAAGCCACAGGCTTGAGTTTGCAAGATCTGAGCAGGGCTGCTGAGGGCAGAACATTTTGGAGCTCGCTCATTTGTAGGCATAAGTCAGGGGTGGCTTGCACAAAACAACAACAATATCACAATTGCTCATGAGAATAAGAACATTTTGGAGCTTGCTCATTTGTAGGCATAAATCAGGGGTGACTTGCACAAAACAACAATATCACAATTGCTCATGAGAATGGTGCACAAGGAGAGGCTATGGTTAGCTTTACCAATTTTTAAGCTGAACCAGTTTTTTTAAAATTCAGACAGCAAACCTGTAAAGTAAGCGAGGCTGACAGTGCCTAGCCTAAGGGGCTCCCATTTCATGCTAGTCAATCTGATTTAAACCCATGTTTCACATAGATACCTGTGCTCAACATGCCACATCTCCTTCCTGTGCCTCTCTCTGGATAGAACAGGCAGCCTCCAACAGAACTCCGGCAGGTGACTATTGGGCTAATAGCAAAGGCATGTGGCTGGTGAGTTGCTGGGAGAGAGCTAGGAGGAAAAGCAGTGGCCACACGCAAACACGTGCACGTGCACATGCACACAAAGATACACTCACGGTCGGCCCTCCCTTCTAATCGGTCCTGAGCTGTAATCCTGAGCACACAAACAGCTAGCCAGCAACCCTCTTCAGCTGCACAATATGTTCAGGTGTTTGCTGGCCGGTGTGTATTCAGAACTGGGCGTGGATCTTCACAGTACAGACAACAGTCAGCATAACGCACGTGTTCGGATTAATGTCTGCCTTCTCTGCAATAAGGTTTACTGCCGCCTGCATCCAAGCTGGCCGGACATGGATCTGAACATGGCCCTCTGATCCTAAGCACAGGATGCTTGTTAGAGTGTCGGAGAGATACTGGACAGAGCATCGTTCCAGTTCCCACGGAGCCACGAAGCTCACTAGGTGGACCCTGTGCTAGAATCTATGTCGCAGCCTGAGCTATGTTGGAGGGTTGTAGTTGGAATAAAATCATCATCATCATCATCATCATCATCATCATCATCATCATCATCATCATCATCATCATCATCATCATCATCAGTAGTAGTAGTAGTTTTATTCATTTTATTAGTTTTATTTATATGCCACATTTCTCCCAACGAGCGACCCAAAGCAGCTCCCAACATTAAAATTCAAACAATTTAAAAACACAATAAGTTAAATATTAAAAGAGAAATTAAACAATATATGATTTAAAATACAATCAAAACATTAAAACATTAAAAAGATTAAAATTATCTGCTAAAATGGTTAAAATGACGTGAGCATGTTAAAACAAAATTGTTAAAATTAAATTGCTTTGTTAAAATAAAATTGTTATAATTGTTAAAATGACATGAACATGGCTGTTTGAGTTTGATGATAAGGGTCACGATATCCTGCTGGGCTTCTTGCAAAAGAAGGTTATGTCATTTACATGTAGAAGTTTGCTTTTATTTAAATATCTTAATGCTGTGTTCAGCCAGTCCACAAACATTCACTCAAATCTGTTTATTCAGATTTAATGTTGTGACCAGAATCTTATTGGCAGTCTACACTTGGGTAGGGTCACACCAGTCTTGGTAGGAAATTGTTGTTGATTAGCAAGGTGCTTAGGTGTGTGCCCATGTTCAGGTACACGTGCAAGAACACAACTGGTACCTTGTTAATGAGCTGTGATTTCTTGCCAAGATTTATGTGATTTCCCTAACACAGGAGTGAACCACCTACAGGATTCTGGCTATTGTTCTTGTCCTGAATGGTAGGTGCTAGAGGTATGGCTTTTTGGTATGGGCTTAATATGGAGCACTTGCCCAAGGAATACAGGCTTGACCGTATCAGTGCTGGCTTTTAAGTGGTTTTTGAAAACCATGTCTTCTGAGTAGTTTTGAGTTAAAATGGAGCGCTGAATGATTCTAAAAGCTTTTATTGCTGCTACAGTCAAATTGATTGATCTATATTGCTCCTTTTAGTTATTGAAGTCCATTATACAAGAGCATGGGGTAGGCCTTGGTAGATCTGATGACAGTGCTTTATCGTATTATATCTTTTATTCGTTTTAGTTGTGCCATTTTGAGAAAGAATGGGTTTGAAAGGCAACCCATAGACAAACAAGCACAAACAACATTGTAGACAATGGCTTTCCAGCATATGTGTTTTGTATTAATAACAGTTTGGTTTTCATAGAAAATTTATGTCACCAGATTAGTGTCCTTCATTTTTTTTTTACATAATTTGGTTGCCTGGGTTTTTTTTTTTTTTTTTTGCCACCAGATTAGTGCCCTTCATTTTTTTTACATAATTTGGTTGGCTGGGTTTTTTTTGACTTGAGGGAACATCAGCAATGCCATAAAGTACTAAAATGGCAACAGGGGTTTAATTTTTCCTCTGGTTAATGTAAAGGAGAAACTGTCAGACAGGAGTGTGGGCAAGGAAGGAGAAGCCAGGAGGAGGGCTGCTTTTCTAAAAGTTGGCAGCTTGGAACAAGAAAAGGTGGATTTCCAGCTTAAGTGCCTGTAATGGCTGTCAGAAATGATAACTGCAACATGTGTAATGAGGCTGTGGTGGTGTGGTGTGTAGTGATTCACTTAGAAAGTACTGCATGAATGGAAGCAATTTACAGAATTGTAAGGGGTTGTTTTTTTAAAAAAAATTATCACACACTGCAAGTTCACGCCTCAGCCAGCTGCTTCTTTAAACATCCTGAAGCGTCTGATGTCTGGTGTGGAATCCTGTCCACAGAGCACAAGCCATGGAGACAGTGCTGTGAATGACAAGCGTGGCGAGACCAAATGCTTAAATTGTGACTCACGCCAAGGAAGCCACCTCACCTATTGCAGGATGATAATGGGGAAATAAAATCCCTCATGAACAACATCCATGGTGGCCTGTAGGCAAAAAATCTTTAAGTTCAAATGCAACAGCTCGGAAACCCCACCTGCCACATCATTGTTTCCACACCACGTAACAATCCGTCACATGCACTGCAGTTCCTTCTCTAAAGGAGGAGGAAAACACCCAGACAGTGGTGTTGTGGAGCCAGGGCTCTCTCAGAAGCAGGACACCAGCATCTACCATCCCCTTAGGCTTCCTGTTTTCCCTCTAAGCTCAGCTCAACTCTTCGTGTTAGCTGGGAGAAAAGTGGATTTCCCCCAGAAACAGTATGTTATTGCTAGGTATTTCCCTTGTGACGAGAAATATTTGTGGTAGAGTAGTCCTAAATGAAGCTGAGGCTCCAATACTTTGGCCATCTCATGAGAAGAGAAGACTCCCTGGAAAAGACCCTGATGTTGAGAAAGTGTGAAGGCAGGAGGTGAAGGGGATAACAGAGGATGAGATGGTTGGACAGTGTCATCAAAGCTACCAACATGAATTTAACTCAACTCTGGGAGGCAGTGGAAGCCAGGGAGGCCTGGTGTGCTGTGGTCCATGGGGCCACGAAGAGTCGGACATGACCAAACAACTAAACAACAACAACAAAGTTCTGAATGGGCCATTAAGAGCCATTAACTTTACAAAATGCCTCTTTATTGATACAGAAGGATCTAGGAACTCTTTGGACTCTCCTTGTACAGTGTTGCGGAGGCGGAGCATCAGTGAAGACTCTCACAGAAAGCACCCACATTTCCACAACACCCCTCTTCCCAAGCCAATATTTGACAGAGGGGAGAAGTGAACCTAACTGTTGCCCAATCCTGGTTGTTGGAGCATCAGAAAAGGAATAATATTATGTTCATCATACATTCCAGACCCGTCAGGTCTGTACATGGCTGGTTTGTCTCACAATGGTGCCAAAATAAATAAATAAAAGGTCTGCAGACAGGAACCATGGATTTTCCTTAGTGATTGATTTTCCTTAGTGATGGGCATCCTGAGAGGGCATTTTTAAATGGATTGTTGTGTTCTGTTGCTTTCAAATGTGATTTTAGTATCAGTTTTATTTGCC